GAGAAACCAAACGAGGAAACGACAGGGGAGGTGAAAATAACACAATCTGTTTCTTTTAAGGAAGAGACCAATGTTGTTGGTGAACTACCCGAGGCTCAAAAAAAGGCTCTTGATGATTTGAAACAACTCATTCAAGAGGCTCTCAATAAGCACGAGTTCACCACCCCACCACCACCACCAGCAGCAGCAGCAGCAGAGGAGGAGGAGAAACCAGCTGAGACTGAGAAGGTAGAAGTCAAGGAGGCGGAGAAAACTGAGGTTCCTTCTACTAGTGAAGAGCCCAAAACTGAAGAGGAGCCTAAAGCTGCTGAGACTAAGACTGAGGCTTCCACTCCACCTCCACCACCACCGGCGGTGGAGGAGAAGGTTGAGGTGAAAGAGGAAAAAGTGGAAGAGAAGGTAGAAGTGAAAGAAGAAGAAAAGAAGGCTGAGCCATCCTCTGCGGCGGAAACTGTGGTCGTTGCTGTCACAGAGGTGGAGAAGGTAGCTGCTGTGGATGAAGATGGAGCCAAGACAGTTGAGGCAATTGAGGAGACAGTAGTATCTGTCTCTGCTCCTGCAACGGAAGAGGCTGCCCCAGCCACAGAACCCGAGGCAGCTCCTGCAGAGGGGGAGCCTAAAAAAGAAGAGGAAGCGACCCCAGATGTTCCTCCGCCGCCCCCGGAGGAAGTTTTCATCTGGGGAATCCCCCTTCTTGGCGATGAGAGGAGTGATGTGATCCTCTTGAAGTTCTTGAGAGCTAGAGATTTTAAGGTGAAGGATGCATTTACTATGATCAAGAACACTGTCAAGTGGAGGAAGGAATTTGGAATTGATGCTCTTCTTGAAGAAGACCTTGGGACTGAATTGGAAAAGGTTGTCTTTACCCATGGAGTTGATAAAGAAGGTCACCCTGTGTGTTACAATGCTTATGGTGCTTTCCAGGATAAGGAGCTTTATCAGAATTGTTTTGCTGATGAAGAGAAGAGGGCAAAATTCCTGAAATGGAGGATTCAGTTCCTGGAGAAGAGTATCAGGAAGTTAGACTTTAGTCCCAGTGGTATTTGCACTATTGTTCAGGTCAGTGATCTCAAGAATTCCCCTGGACCTGCCAAGACTGGACTCAGGCAAGCCACCAACCAGGCGCTTAGTTTGCTACAAGATAATTATCCTGAATTTGTAGCCAAAAATGTAAGTGATCCATGTTCTATTCATTCCTTTTGAATTAAATTACATGCATTTTTTGAAAAAAAAGAAAAAAGAATCTTAATTTGATGTGGGTTTTGGTATTTGAAGGTGTTCATAAATGTTCCGTGGTGGTACCTAACATTCAATAAGATGATCAGTCCTTTCCTGACACAAAGGACAAAGAGCAAGTTTGTATTTGCTGGTCCATCCAAATCTGCTGAAACCCTTTTCAAGTAAGTGCAATTCCTTAATCTGGCTTCCTTTATTTTTCCTTCATGATGTTTGATCATTATTTGCTTTCTTGGAATTCTGTATATTGCGTGATCATTAATAGTTCTGACTAGTCCCGTGATATCTCTTCCTCTTTATGGTTAAAGACATCTCTTAGATTCATCTTCTTTTTCTCCGTGTTAATTTCTTCATGTTGATATAATCTCTCATATGTCTGGTGGTGTATTTATGTGTGTTTATTGATGATATACAGATACATAGCTCCTGAAGAAGTGCCAGTTCAGTATGGTGGACTGAGCAGGGATGGTGAATTCACAGTTGCTGACTCTGTCACAGATGTTACTATTAAGCCAACATCAAAGCACACTGTTGAATTCCCAGTTTCTGAGGTACATATCTAAATTTAATAAGCCGGTTTTGATTCTTAAACTAACAATAAGCAAGCATTTTTCTTTCTTTCTTTCTTTCTTTCTTTTGGGTGAAGCGTTGGTGACATCAAATTAATTTTAATTTCAGGCATGTATTCTTGCTTGGGAGCTTCGAGTTTTGGGTTGGGACGTTAGCTATGAAGCTGAATTCATGCCTAGCGCAGAGGATGGTTACACTGTTATCGTATCAAAGACTAGGAAGGTTACCTCAACCGACGAGCCTGTGATCTCAGACACATTCAAAATTGGTGAACCTGGCAAGGTTGTGCTTACCATTGATAACCAAACCTCCAAGAAGAAGAAGCTCCTCTATAGATCGAAGACCAAGCCCATTTCTGAATGAGCTTCAAGGATCAGGGCCATCGTGGAGTTTTTAACTTCCAATCATTTAGAAGACATGGATGGCATGCAAGGAGTCCTATAATGCATGAACACGAGGGTGGAGTTTTGTTTTTGTTTAATTTTTTGTTCTTATGAAGTCTGGGGCATTTATTTATATATTTCATTATACATTAGTTTTTTGGGGGTGGGTTTTCTTGTTTGGTGTTGAATTGGATACAATTTACTGGTAAAGACATTCTGGGATATCATGGATTGACAGACAGATTTGAGGTTAAAGCATGGAGAACATGAAAATGTGACTGCCAAGGTGGAAAGAATATCGTCTGTTATCATTCTTGATACTCTTACCTGTAAAATTTGTGTAAATGTGATGGTGTATAACTTCCTAATACATGTCTTTGATAAATTGATAGCATTTCTCGTGGATCCACTTCATTCAAACATGAATTTGGTTTTAAATCTTCACATACCGTGCTCATCTTCTGGACACCATATTTTGTGATACATTGGAAGGTAAGTCCCAAGCTTTGATTCGGGGCATTGAAGGGCACGCCCTAGGACAAGAAATGCGAGTATCTCACCATTAGAGAACAAACTGGTTGGTGCCAAGAAATTAGAATTGAAGAATCAAGCCTTATGACTAGATAAGGCAAGTTACCTGCTGGAAAAAAGATGTGTGTATAATCAATTAAGTTACTTGCTGGAAACGTAAATAGCAATGAAAGTGATGCAAAACAGTTGTTTATGGCTTATTTTCTGTCGAAGGAAGAAGCTCTTTCAGGGTGGTTTTATTCTTTGGAGCATTCTGTCTCACCATTAACAAAAAACAGTTCAAGATATCATATGCTCAAAAACTGTTCATCTCAGACGAAACGAAACACATCACAATTTATACGCTTTCTTCTCTTGTAGTTTCAAAGTCCTTTTTTTACCTTCTTGTCATGTAAAAACATCCAATTCACATGTATCCATGGCACTTTTCTGGTTACAACTTGGACAATGGTGGCTTCAAGTTGTGAAGGAAGAGTTTTTTGTCAAGTTCTTCAGTCTAAGATCAATCACGTTAGTGAAGAATCCTACTTTTGTGATCAAGATGCGTTAGGCATTGCTTGGCCAAGTAGAACACGTTTAACTTCTGAAATGTTATCCTGATCCACACTTGCACCAACAAAGATGAATTATTTATTAAATATATTAAAATAATATTTATTTATTTATTTAAATTTATTTGAAACACGTAACAAAATAAAAAATCATAGCAGCTGGTCCCGTCAACAAGGATATCACCTAATCAATAACCAGTATTCAGCACAGTGCAGAGATTAACGTTGACTGACATCTCATGCTTATTGTTTTTTCTCGAAGGGAATTTGATCTCTGTCTCTGTGGGCAGACGAAAACGAAAGAGACAACTCCCCTGTAAATCCCTGGTTTTTATCTCGCCTCGCCTGTCTCGATCCTGACATCATTTTCAAATGTACAAGCAAAATGTTTGGAGATGCTGAGATCATGGTTGTGATTATCTTATTAATAGAGATTAATTAACAGTAATAATCTACCTGATTGTTATCCAGCTGAATTGATCCTCGAGGATGGATTTTCTTTTCATGTGGCAATTGGGTCCATAATGACATGGCATGAGATTTTGCTAATAAGATACATGGAACATCGTTATTAGACCTCCGAATCTATCCAGTAAAGGAGGCTGGTACCACTAAATAAAAAATTGAAAAAAAAAATTGAATTTTTAATATTTTATATAAAAAAATTAAAAAATAAATCATGTAAATATAAGTTATATATATTATAAATAATAAAATTTAAAATATTATCTCAAAAGGTTTTTTATTGCATATTAAAAAGATACTATATTAGTATATTATTCTTTTAAATTGAATTATTTAAACTAAAAATATTTTTTTATCTCACATTAAAAAATATAATTTATTTTATAAACATAAAGTATATATATTAAAGGATTTCAAATTTTATATTGAAAAAATAAAATAAAAATTAGTATTTATATAGTGAATTTTAAAAAGAATTAATAACCAACCAAAAATACTTAAAAAAAAGGTTTCTGGCTAGAAGAAAAAACACTTTTAAATAAAAAAAAAAGGAGTCTCTATCGAGTTTTGCTAGGTTGCTCATGTCACGGGTCAATCAAGTTTGACTATTTTTTTGTTATTGTTAGTCTTTCACCTTACATGGATCGATCTAACCATTGGGTCGACCAGGTTCTAGATTGACCTATCAGACCGATCCAGATTTAATAACTATGGTCCAAGTTAAATGAAAGGAAAATGACATATATTACCATTTCTACTAGCATGATTCTTCTTTCTTCTTCTTCTCGAGGTTCATCTTTCAATTAAATCATTAATAAAAAAAAATACCAAAATTAAAGAAAAAAACAAAAAAAAAATGCAATCTTTGTTATGAGTTCAATGAAGTTACACAAGATGTTAAGAAGCTACAAAAAACTTCACGAATAAAAGGACCTTCTT